CACACGAAAAGATTAGCCTGAGGGGACTGCAGGGATGAGCGCGTTCCGAGAGCTTACATACCAGGCACTGTTGTCAGTACCGATGTGCACTAACCCATCCATCCCCACCCACGGCAACCCACCCTACGAGACAGACACTGTTACAATTTTATTTTACAAAAGATGAAACCTCAGAGAGGTTAGGAAACTAACCCAGTGGTGGCAGAGCCAAGATTTGCACTGTGACCTGACTCCAGCCTCCTGCACACCCCTCCCTCCTGCGCAGCCTTCAGCAGGGGATCTTGGGCAGCCTCACGGCTGACCTCAGTGGCTTTCAGTAGGAAATGGTCCTAAGCATGGAGGTGGGATGGTTAGAGCTGCCCGTGAGAAAAGCTCCTGGGGTGCTGTGGACCAGGCCAAAGCGGGGGAGCGCTATGCAGTGTCTGGCAGGAGCCAGTGAGGAAGGGGTGGCGGGGCGTGTGCTTATTAATCCCCACTTGACCACTTGGCTTTGCTCCAGTTGAGCAAGTGGTGGACACACGGAAGGCGCTTGCTGATGACCACCGCCTGGCTCTGTAGGTGCACCTGGGCTGGCCTATTTTCCCGGTGAACAACTCTGCCCTCCCCCAAGCAGGAAGCAGCCAGGGTCGGGCCCCTGCAATGCTCCCTGTACCCCAAAACTTAACAACTAAAGCAACACATGTGCTTTATCTCGGTTTCCATGGGTCAGGAGCCCAGGTGTGACTCAGTTGGTCTCTTACCAGCTGGACTCAAGGGTGCCGGCCGGGTCGGCTCTTGTCTGGACTCCATGGAGAAACGATCCTCCTCAACATTCACTTGGATCGTGGCTGGAAGACTCTACCCCCTGAGGTCTGCTGCACTGAGGGCCTCATTTCTCCACCGGCTGTTGGCTGGAGCCCCCCTCAGCTGTGTTCCATATGCCTCTCGCACCCGTAGCTTGTCCCATCAACACTGGCATCCTGCTAGAAGACAGAAGTCACCACACTTTGCACCCAGCCACAGGAGTGGCCCACCCTTGATGATGCCATGTTCTATCAGTGTAAGGAAGGGGAGGGGAGTCCACCAGAACATGGAGACCAGGAGGTGGGGATCAGTGGGGGTCATCTTGAGGCTGCCTCCCTCCTCCCCAGGGCCCCCAGGAGTAGGCCTGGCTGCAGGGACGGCGTCCCCACCAAACAGACTTAAGACACTAGGACTGCCTGCAGTCCCAGCCAGGTGGCCCCTCTGGACCACATGGTCCCTTCAGAGAAGAACAAGATCTGGAGAGGATGGCATAAGGTCAGAAACTTTCTGAGCATATAAAGGCTCTATCCTGGATGTTTTTTTTTTTTTTTTAAGATTTATTTATTTATTTATTTATTTATTTATTTATTTATTTATTTATGAGAGACACAGAGAGAGAGAGGTAGAGACATAGTCAGAGGAAGAAGGCGTTCCCTATCCTGGATGTTTGGAGGGAAGGCCAGCTGGGTCCTGTCAAGAAGGATGGGACCAGGGATGCCTGGGTGGCTCAGCGGTTGAGCATCTGCCTTCGGCTCAGGGCGTGATCCCAGAGTCCCAGGATCGAGTCCCACATCGAGCTCCCTGCATGGAGCCTGCTTCTCCCTCTGCCTATGTCTCTGCCTCTCTGTATGTATCTCTTATGAATAAATTAATAAAATATTTTTTTTAAAAAAAAATGGTTGGATGGGACCATCCCAAAAGGGCCCTTCATCAGTGGAGCAACCATCCTTGCCAGAGAAGGTAACCAGGCAAGGAAGCCACCCGTCTCTTACTTTGGGGTGTTTGGGGGAGAAGAGCAGGGTCTGGCTCAAGGGAGAAAAGAGACACATCATTTCAAACTGAGGCTGAGGAGCAGCAGCACAGACACAAAGCATTCACCCTTATTGCTATTCCCCAGGATCCTGGCCCCGGGGAACCTCTCAGTCCTCAAGGATCAATGACCAATAAGGGCCATTGGTCAGTAATGCCCACAGGGGCCTTTCCCATTTCAACAGATGCTCCCAAATGATGAGCTCAGTTGTGCCGAAGGACTCACCTGTCATTTCCTATCATGCCTTGTGGCAGATCAAATCTATTGAGATACCATTACCTATGGAATAAAATATAAGCTCATCCCAGCATTCATAGCCTTTCATGACCTGGTCCCAATATTCCTGGAAATTCCTACAGATTTTCCAGTCTCCAGAAAAACCAACTAACTTCTTGCTTAATTACTTGCTCATTCTACCATTCATTAGCAAATATTAAATGTGTGCCCACCATGTGCTGAGTGAAAGGGTCATTCCAGCTGGCTTTTACCTCTCCCCCATCATAGAACAGATCCCAACCATCTTCCCCCAGCACATCACGTTCTCACCTCTGGGCCTTTGCACATGCTATGCCCTCAGCCCAGTATACTTTCCCCACTTCTCTATATTTTTCCTGATTTCCTTTAATATTCTGCTCAGATAGTGGCACCTGGATGGTTCAATTGGTTGAGTCAGACTCTTAATTTTGGCTCAGATCCTGATCTCAGGAGATAAAGCCCCTCATTGGGCTCCACAATCAGTGAGGAGTCTGCTTGAGATTATCTCTCTCTGCTCCTACCCTCCACTCATGAGCTCACACACTTTCTCTCTCAAATAAATAAATTAAAAAAAAAAAAAAAAGACTCCGCTCAGACATCAATTCCTCTCAGAAGCTTTTTGTGATCCCCAGGCTGGGTAACATCCTCTCATTGTGCATTCAGAGCCCCCAGCCATCACCTCTAACACTGCCAATCAGCAGGCAGCTCCCCTCCATGCAGAGATTTTGGGCCAGAGGAAAAGCATGGCCTGTTCTGTCTCTCAGGAGCTGATGATCCATGCACGAGATGAACTCTGAGCAGATCTGTGGTGGTTAATCATTCCCTGGTGATCACCCCTTTATAAGGGATGATGGAGGAGACAGCAGTCTCATATTTCTGAGGTGCTTATTATATACCAGGCTATCTCCCTGATGTATTTGTAGAATATTGATCTTTCACAGCAAACACAGAAAAGTATTATCATCCTTGTTTTGCAGATGAGGAAATTGAAGTTTTGATTGATTGAGGTCACACAGCTGGTGAGTGGCTCCAGGCTCAGCCCAGCAGCCCATATAAATCCCTGCTGGAGCCTCCACCCATACTTCACCCAGCCTTGGCTCTCACACCTGGGGTCAGGTGGCAGGGGTTGGCGGGCGGGGGGAGCATGGGCAGCTCACAGGATAGGCAGGTGTCCCTTATCCAGAGCTAAAATCTGTTGTTCCCTGTGTTTCCTCCTGAAGATCCCCAATCTGCATCTGGACTCTTCTCAGAACAAGTGGAATCATCCACCCAACAACCTTCAGGCAACATCAGCCACAACAGCACCACCAAATATAATAGCTAATATTTGTCAAAGCCATTCATTTTTGTGGTACAAAATGCAGCTCCAAGTTCATTTTTTTAAATAGGGATATCTGATTGTTCTAGCACCATTTGTTGAAAATACGATTCTTTCTCCCCTGAATTGCCTTTGTGCTTTTGTCAAAAGTAAATTGTCCTTAGCATGTTGGTCTATTTCTGCGTTTCCCATTCTGTTCCCATTGATCTATTTGTCTTTCCAATGTAATGCCACACTGTCTCAATGATCGCTGCTTTATACTAGGTCTAGGTTAGTTCTTCAACTTTTATCTTTCATTCCTCAAATTTTATCTTTCTTAAAGCTGTTTTAGCTACTCTTAGCATTTTCATATGAATTTAGAATTAATGTGCCAACTTCTGTAAATTGATTTTGGGATTAAATTGGAATTATATTGAATCTATAGGTCAGTTTAAAGAAAATTGATACTTTAACAACAATGGGTCTTCCAACCCATGAACATGGTATGTCTCTCCATCTATTTAAGTCATTTTTAAAATTCCTCTTAGAAATGTTTTATAGTTTTCATGGTATAAGCTTTGCACATCTTTTGTCAGATTTATCCCTGACATTTTTATCAGGCTTATTGACTTTTTCATTTTGATTTTCTGATAGTTCGTTGCCAGTAATTAAAACTGCAACTGACTTCAAACCAGGTTGTTTAATAGTCTTATAAAAATCTTTTATATTCTTATAAATATAAGAATCCACTTATTCTGTCAATCGTTCTGAGAATATGAAATTATTCTACTATGACTGGATTTGTCTAGCTCTATTTGCAGTTCCATCCATTTTTGCTTTATTTTGAAATTCTGCATTTGGTGCATAAAATTTTAAGGACCTCTTTTTTTTTCTCAATAAATTGACACCTTTATCATTACAAAATATCCCTGGTAGTGTTCTTTGCTCTGAAATTTCTCCTGATATTAATATAACCACTCCATCATTTTCTTGATTATTGTTATGTTATGTCATTTTCTATCCTTTTAACCTATTTGTGTCAATATTTAAAGCAACATCTTGTAGCAACTTGTAGTTGAGTCTTGCTTTTTAATCTAATCTGATTATCTGCACATTAAATGTATATGTTTAGGCCATTTACTTTTATTTAACATGATTATTAATTTGGTTAGCTTTTTACACATAAGCTTGCTCTTTGCTTTCTGTTTTTCACATCTGTTCTTCATTCACTTTTTCTTCTTTTTCTGCCTTCTTTATGAATAATTGATTATTTTTCTGATTCCATTCAATCTTTTTTTGTTGGCTTAAGACCTATAGCTTTTGGGGGGCACCTGGGTGGCTCAGTGGTTGAGCATCTGCCTTCAGCTCACGTTGTGATCCCAAGGTCCTGGGATTGAGTCCCATATCAGGCTCCCTGCAAGGAGTCTGCTCCTCCCTCTGCCTGTGTCTCTGCCTCTCTCTCTCTCTGTCTTTCATGAATAAATAAATAAAATCATTTAAAAAAAGACCTATAGCTTTTTGTCTTGGTATTTTAGTGGTTGCTTTGGGTTTATATTATACATCCTTATTTATTACCATGTATCTTCAGGTGGTATTATATTACTGCACATTTAATGTAAGAATTCTATAATAGTAGTGCTTACTTTGGCAACACACACACTAAAATTGGAACAATACAGACAATATTAGCATTGCCGCTGTGCAAGGATAGCACACAAATTTGTGGATTCCATATTTTTTTAAACTTTGTTTAGCCAGTTTAAGAAAATCTGCTTATGGCACAAATTGCCTCAAATCCATTTCAAGTTGTATATTTGTTTTCCAATTTTAAAAAAATGCAATTTACCCCCTCCTCCCCCCAAAGAAAAGAATTCTGTAATAGTATACTTTTGTTTCTCCCCTCTAGGGCTTTATGCTATGGTGGTCATACATACCAGTTTTCCATATGCTATAAACCCAACACTACATTGTCATCATTGGTCTTCAAATATTCGATTAATTTTTGCAAAGATGCAAATAATAACAGAAAGTATGTTAGCCTGTGTCATTTCTCTTTTCAGCACTCTTCATTCCTTTGTGAGATCCATCTAGAATCCTTTCTCTCCTACACAAAAGACATTTAACATTGTGGTGTGAGTCTGCTGGTGATTCACTCCTTCAGGGCAGAAAAAATATTTTGAAAAAATAGCCAAAAATATTCCAATTTTAATGGAAAACATAAACCCACAGGTCCAAGAAGCTCAACAAATCCCAAGCACAAAAGATATGGAAAAAACTACACTAGGTCGCATCATGATCAAAGTGCTAAAAGCCAGTGGTAAAGAGAAAGCCTTGAAATCATTCAGAAGGAGAAGAAAGATACATTATACAGAGGAACAAAAATAAGTATGACAGCATATTTCCCCCTCAGAAACAATTCAAGTGAGAAAACAGTAGAGAAATGTTTTAAAACACTGGGGGGAAAAAACCCTCTTAGACTAAAATTCTAAACTCAAAAGAATATCTTTCAAGAACAAAAGAGACTTTTTTTTAGATATAAAACATGAAATATTCATAGGATTTGCCTTTTCAATCCTATCTTTCAAGAATCATCGTATCTTCTTTGCTTGATGGCTAATGTCTGAAAAATCATTGTTTCATATATTTTTTGTCTAGTTCTTTCATTGTTTCTGGTAGAAGGGTAAATCCAGTCCCTATGACTCCATCTTGGCCAGAAGTGGAAATCATAGTTGTAATTTGATGTGTATTTGTATGATTTTCTCCTGCTGTAGCCTATATTCCAAGAGGGAAGGGACCATACATACCTATTTTTACTCTGGGCTGTATCCCCAGCACTTGGCAAAGTGTCTGGCACTGAATAGGTTCCAGCAACTAAATTCTCTAAACTTCTATGCAGTTGCACTTGGTTTAATGAATCCCAGGGCTATTCTATGATTCTGGGTATACTGGGAGATACTTTTAGAAGATCCAAATTAAAATAAGAAAAGAACCACATGCCAGGATCAAAGTTAAGAAAGGTCAAAGGATAGGACACCTGGGTTGCTCAGTGGTTGAGCGTCTGACTTTGGCTCAGATCACGATCCTGGGGTCCTGGGATCCAGTCCCACATCAGGCTCCCCACAGGGAGTCATTTCTCCCTCTGCCTATGTCTCTGGCTCTCTCTCTGTGCCCCTCATGAATAAATAAATAAATAAAATCTTTAAAGAGACAGAGAGAGAGAGAGAAGAGAAGAAAGGTCAAAGGAGGAGAAACAAAGCCCCAGGAAGGCTAGAAAGGTAGAAAAGACAGAATGAAAGTATCTCTTTCCCCTCTCCACAGCCAGCCCCACCCCAAACACTCTTCTTGCACATGTCATTGATACGGCCAGCCATTTCCCACCCACGCCGTCCCAGCCCACGTCCATATAGTCTCCACTTCTCCCTTTAGTTATAGAACCTCAATTTCAACTGCATAAAATAAAAACCACATTTTCCAGCTTCCCCTGCAGCGCGGTTCAACCACGGGACTAATTTCTGCCAATGATGTGTGACTGTTCCCATGTGCAGCCCCAGGTTGTGTCCTTAAAGGGAAAGGCCATACTTTGCATGTCTGAGTCCCCCAAGACTGTGGAGCTACCTCATGAGGCCCCAGTGGGCCAACTCTAGAACTGGTGTGTGAGAGAATAATGTGAATCTGTCTCACATAAGCCACTATGATGTGGAATCTCATTATGTGGTTCTCAAATAGTGCTCAGAACCAGGCGCTTGGCTGTTTTTTGGGGAAGTTGAGTTGCTCAAAAAAGCCTGTATCCAGAAGAAACGCCATCTAATTTTGGCTTGTAACTTGGGGCCTATAGGGCCAAAGGATCTGGGGCAATTTGGTTAGGAAAGAACACCAAGGCATCTGTAGCTTTGCTGATTGGAGCCTGGTAGGGTCCTGTTGGGGCTCTGACTGCAATAGAAGACGCAGTAAAGAGTTGCTTAAAACCAGACACAGGGACATGGCCCTGCTGGCCAACCACCTCTTTCCTTCCCTGTTCTCTGTCCAGGCAGGAATCACTCTTAGCAGCAGCTAACTCCCACTGCCTTGAGTTGGGCACAACCACCACAGAGCAGGGGAAGGGAAAAGGAGGTAAATTTATGACACCACTGATGGGGATGACAGTTATGAATGCTGGCTGTCCTGCTACCACCCGTCACACACACACGGAGAACTTTCCGGCGAGAGGTTCAGGGACTGAGTCCTCCTTACGGCAGGGCACGCTCGGCCCTCACCAAATATACCTAACATTTAGATAAGGGAGTGGAGGGAGGATTTAGCACTTTCCTGAAATCTAGTAGCAATAAATGAGAAAAATGGAGCAGCTCACTCCAGATCAACAGCGCCAGAGAACTAATTAATGCTACTCCCGTCCCAAGCCAGGATGCCGGTGGCAGAGGCACCTGCCCAGGTAATTCATCAGCTTCAGATTTATGGACTCCTCGAGAGCCTCCTGCACATCTCCTCCCCTCCAGTTTAGTTAAAGCACTTTTATCTAGATTTTTTTTCAAGATTACTGATCTGCCCTGCCACATCTTAAGGCGGGTGGCGGGGGGGTTGGGGTGAGTGGGGGGGGCAGGGAGATGAGCACCGCAGTGGGGAGCACAATCGAATATTGATTTGCCTGCAATGATCCAGAAAAAAAGTCAACCCATTCAAGTGAGCCAATTGTTTCCAACTGCCCCAAATCAGAGAACATCAGTTTCCCGTGCAAATCCCTGGGTTCTTGACATTACATTCAAGGCAAGGAGAGAGCCCACCGCCTGCACAGAGAGGGATTAAGGCTGCAAATAGAAGAGGTGGCAAGCCTCAGTTTCTTCACTGGTAGAATGAGAATAAGGGGAAGGCTCCATCACGTTTCCTGGATGCATGAATGAAAGAAGGTATTGAATCATAGGGAAAGGAATGGGGTGCTCCAAACCATCCCCCCACCCTCCTGTACTATTAACATCAAAGCTCCTGGGCAGCCCCGGTGGCTCAGCAGTTTAGCGCCGTCTTCAGCTCAGGGCCTGATCCTGGAGACCCGGGATCAAGTCCCACATCAGGCTCCCTGCATGGAGGCTGCTTGTCCCTCTGCCTGTGTCTCTGCCTCTCTCTCTCTTTGTGTCTCTCATGAATAAATAAATAAAATCTTTAAAAAAACACACACACACACACACACAAAAGAAAAAGCTCCCCAGCCCAGCAGAGCCACAACAGCAAAGATTACAGAAACAAAACGGTGTTAAGAGGTCATCCTGCTTTCAGTCTGGGAAGAACATGTAGCTTTGATCTTACTGGTGAGCCAGCCAAGATGTGGAGGTCAGACAGGAAAATCCCACCCTGACCCTTGATGTGCAACAGCAACCCCCCCCCACCACAACCACACAGCCAGGATCCTGACGAGGCCATGGAGACTCCTCCCCCAATTGCCCCCCGTGCGCTGGGCACCTGTCACAGGAATTGTACCATGTAATCCTCACAACAGCCCATGGAAGTGGGCACATCTTACGTGCGTATGCACACGTGCACCTCGGTTTCTCGTTTCAAAAGAGTTCTATCCTTGTTTGAAAAGGTTTTCTCATTTCAGGCAGGAACAATAAAATAAAAATTCAGTATGACTACGATCCTGCCCCAAGCTTTCAGATGGCCCAGCATCAGAGACGCAGGCAGGTTATACATCAGGGGAGTGAAGGGGATCTGCCGTCGAAGCCGACAACAGGCCCGACTGGGGCAACCGAGACCTTGGAAAGTCACCTGCTCCTCCTCTCCCTTCTCTGGGTATGTATTGAGATGTGTTTTCAAAAGCTACTGCTGACTTCCTTGTATCGTTGTTCCAGAAACGGTCACCCAGCACACCCAGTCCCCCAGGGGACTCCCACACCGTCGTTGGGGTAACGGGGAGTGGCCGTCCCTCCTTCACCATATCCCCCCACCTGCTCTGATCACCGCGGGCCACCAGACACCCCTCTTCACCCCAGTCTGAGCCCCCAGCTGGACTGACGGACAATGCGGAGGGTCTTGGTGATCACCGCCGGCGATGCTTCTGGAAAGTTCTTTCAGGGCCCCCTCTGTGAGAGCTGCTGGCCCCGCGTCCTTCCCAGCACAGCCCCGTCACCCTTCTTGCCCCGAGGAGCCAGGGACCTGTGCCCCGCACGCGCTGCGACCGGGGAGAGGCTGGGTCAACTGGATAGAACTTGAGAGAGAAGCTCACCACGTGCTCAAGTGCTTACCGGTCAGAATCCTTTCCTGGGGGCCCCTGGAGAGCAGAGCACTGCAAAGGAGCCTCTGGAAAATCCTTTTGTACACTGTGGAATCCCTCTCCCCTGTGAATAGCCCTCAATCCCAAGGCTGAGACACGCGCATGTGCAAGCATGTCAGCCCGTCCACACAAATATACGCACACGTATAAATAACACACGCCTACGATGCACAAGTCCTATGCACTTGCTGGAAAAATCTCAAGTCAAACAGCACAGAAATGTAAGATGTTAAGCTTCCCCCTGGTTATCTCTCCACGTCCTCTCATTTAAGACACTTGCTATTAACCTTCGGGGGGTATGCTCCGACTACAGATGCGTAGACTGCTTGGGTCAGCGATGTCTCCAGCTCAGCCTCAGGGATGACTTTGATTGATTTTTTAAAATCACCATGAGCAGGACATTTCGGGATGCACGCACAGACACGGGTTCCTCTGTCCCCAGTCCGTGGGAAGTGTAGAGCCACGCAGCTCCTGTCCTCTTC